CTAATCTATTTCGCATTATTTCTGCTATGCTCTTCTATCATCCAGAACAACCAACGTATCAATGAATGTGTTTGCCGTCGAGTTATTAACGGAACAGAACGGTTTCCAAGTTTGGTTACAAGATTACTACTCTGGAGAGTATGTGGTCGTTGGGGGCATGTGGTTCTAAATATGGCGATGAGTGTGCAAAATGTTACGCAATTGCATCCTCTCTATTTGCACTTGCCCGAAGATCGGAGGCGAATGCCACTTCGACTTGTTTCGTCTGCTAACTACTCTCTGATGACTGTGTTGGGGAAGCAACATATACATGTACGTAATTGGTGGATTTGCTAGTTATTTCAACGCTTTTGGACAATACTTGACATTCACCACTTTTTCAACAGTTTTTTATTTGAATGTGAATATTCAAAAGCATTGCTATTGATGCGTAAAAATATTTCTGATCGATTGGAGATTAAATTATTTACAGTGGTCCAGGAGCGGCTGGGTTATTAACGATCAAAATCTTTCTTAATTTTATTACATGTTCCATTTTTGGTGTTCACAAAGAGTACCCCCATATAGAAATCACAGACATAGTCCTACGTCAAAACTTGATCAATAGAAGGTCTTCTGAATAAATAATCAATCTGAATCCTTGTAAAATATCCAAGGGGCTTTGAAACTCTCTGAAATTCAGTGATCACCTCTGAATTTGCATTAACTTCAAAAAAATTGGAAGCACTTTAAAGAAGTACCATAAACTGTGAGGAAATATCGATTGGTTTGAAAAAGAGTTATGAATATCAGAAAAACTGCGGGAGTAAACTGTGTTGAAAACTAATTTTAGCGATTGTTCATGTGATTACCCTGACACCTGGTGGTGAATCAACCAGTGCGTCGCCAGTCATAGCAACCCTGTTGTGCACAGAAAAAAATTGACAGCGTTATCAGTTGATTTGCAGCAGCCATGACGAAAACAGTTAAGCAACTACGCTCGATGGTTTGCTCGTACTGCCATCTCCACCCCGCCCGGAGTGAAGAAGTTCGACATCGTGAAGCACTTTGTATCCACCGGATGTAGCCGATCCGGGTATTACAACATCCTCTCCCTTTTGGAAAAAGGCGAGAGCTTCGAATGACAGCCTGGTTTCAACCGCCCAACGATGCAGCGCAACCGTAAAGAGCAGCAGAAGCTGAACAGGAAGACCGAGGGCAAGCAACCGGCCAAACGGTGAAGAAGTTCTTGGACAAGATTGACATTGTTATGCGGAAGCGTCAGTCGAGGCTGGCCGTGTCTGAGCAGCAGGCAATCACCCAAAAGGAGCGACTGAAGGTGCTGGTCGCCAAGGCCACGAAAGAGCTGAAGAACATGCCAACATCCATCTTTTCATCGGCTATGGCTAAGGTTCCGGCCAACTACAACTAGGCCACCCAGCAGGGCGTCGAAGCATTTTTGTAGAAGGCTTAATAAACGTAGAATTTAAAGAAAATTTGTTCCATTGATTTAACTTTTGTAGTTTTTTTTCATCGCCATCCGAAATTAGTCCAATGCAAACGTTAGTTATGTGGAAAGTTTCAGAGTAAGTCTGAGGAGAACTTCAGAGTCGTTCTGAGGAGACCTTCAGAGTTGTTCAGAGGAGACCTCAGAGTAGTTCTGAAGAGAATTTCAGGGAAGTTCCGAGAACTCCAGAGAAATCCCATTGGCCTCAGGAATATTTCGGAAAATTTGACGTGTAGATGGCATAGATGGCCCACAACGGCTTACGACGAGCAATTGAATCCGATCAGCGATTGACGGCAGCTAGCTGCTTGCGAGAAGCCTTTCGTTGTGTACTGGAAAACATCACCACTCACCACACGCGGTGATTGAATGAACACCGTTCGGTGATGTGAAATCCCATATTGCAGCCGGAAGAAATCGCCCAGCCCAGGAGACACACTGACGCACGACTTACTCTCACGCTGGTTTGGGGCACGAAGAGGAAGAGACACGATGCTACAGTCTCTTGTGCCGTTGGCTCGGTGGAGGGTTTGTGGTTGTGTGAGTGTGTTTCCTCAACTATTCGTTCAGCAAGGGATGGAATCTAGGGGGAACAATGTAGTACAATCAAGGTGTATCCCACAGGTAAGACCGGATGGAATTCAATTTTGAAACCTGTGTCAGGGAATGTGCTTTTTGCAAGCAATCGGTGATAATTTTAAGTATAACAACAGTTGCACATTCGTTCAATTTTCAAAAATTTCCTATCGACTGGCCTATTAAAAATATGAATTCATCATCTCTGAATCAAAATCAGATCACTTTCATGCCGCGACCGACTACGATTTTTTTTAAATTGCATCTCCAATATTGCCTTAAAATACAGGGTGTTTTAGATTTATATTTATGGGAACTGAAGTTCGATTGATGACCTTGAAAAGTCTCGCGTTACTTTTTAAATAGACCTTTCTACTGAGACTATATGAGACTCACCCTAGTGACTCAACCAACACTCCGGGGTTACTAACTCAGTCACAGGGCCGGCATGTTATTGGGTAATTCGGACGGGCTACGCGGAGCAAAGTGTGCAGACACTGTGGGATTTCTATAGTGATGGTGACATTAATTGAAAGCTAAAGTGTGGGTGGAAAAAGTCTAGTAATTTATTCAACTGGAATTATGATGCGGATTTTGAGTTTTATTGGGCTATTTTGGGGTGTTTTCTATGGGTTTCTGCTGCTTTGGTACGTACCGGTGGTGGACGATGGCAAGCGCTCGCGGATGGTGCTTTTGTTAAGGCCGATGTTGTTTGACCGCAATGGCGGTCCGTGGTTTGATCAGTCCGTCGACAATTGCGGATCGGTGGCTTCGACTGGTCTGGAAGATGACTCCTGGTGACTGAAGCTGTGGTCACAAAAATTGCGGATTGGAAGGCTCGGGTTTGCGCGTTGCAATGGCGGTTCGCAACCAGGGAATGTAGCGATCCCTGTGCAGTTACCGAAGTAGCCTTTTCTGGGTCAACGGTGTCTCCCTTCGTTGGCAAATATCGGCTGATCGTGACAACGCCACCTTGGTCGAGCCGAGAAGGGTATTCCTCCTTTTAAATTAGGACCGCGTCCGAGGATGCTCTCCTGTCTGGTGATTATCAAGTCGGAGAGGTCCTTGACTTTAGACCAAGACAGCCGTAAATGACTTGGTCGAAACGTGCCGATCGTGAGAATCTGTACGTGGAACATAAAAAAGGTCCTGAAGGTATAGAAAAATGTCGTTCACTGCACTTTGAGGCACTTTTTTCGGTTCCCTTTTGTACTTTAGACTTACTATCCACTCACGTCTTGTAAGCATCAATGCCGGTTTACTTCTCAGCAATGGTTGCCTATCCCAAATATCAAAAGCCCTCTTTTTTCAATCCATTTTTCCACCCGTTCCTTATTTCTCGCGCAACACGAGAAAAGGGCCTATCATTGTTGGTCGATTCCTTTCATCGATTTTCTCTTTCGCGAATAGCCCGACTGCAAATGAATTTCCCATTCAGTGTGTTGTTTCATGCGCAAGCTAACATCATCTTCTGTTGAACTGTGCTGTGAGCTTAGCGAGAAATTTGTTCATGTTGCCGTGGTAAATCAAAGAGAAAGTCGATGAAGAGAATCGATCAACGAGGATAGGCCATTTTCAATTGTCCATGTTTTTGGAGCCGAGTCAATGAAGAAAATCGATCAATGTAGATTGGTCTATTTGAAAGTTAACGCGAGAAGTGTCCGGAAAATACTCTTTAACAAATTTATGGTGGTCCTGAAAAGGACCGTTTTGTCGTGATGGTTGAGTAATGCTGAGCTATTAAGGCAAATTATTCCTCCTTCTTCGGTGACTGACCCGCTCAGTGGGCTGCAGCTCACGCTTGCGGGCAGCCTTTCGTCGTGTACTGAAGAACAATCTACAACGCCACGCGCCGAAAGCACTGCTGTTGGTGCTGTTGGTGCTGATGATGACCACCGGACACCACCACTCACCAAACGCGGTGATTGAATAAACACTATTTGGTGAGACCGGATGGAATCCAATTTTGAAGTCTGTGTTAGGGAAAACGCTTTTCGCAGGTAATCGGTGATAGTTTTCATTATTATAGCAACAGTTGCACATTCGTGCAATTTTCTACAGTGACCTTTTGAAAATTGATAAAGTGTTCATTTAAGCAGATTCATAGATGACATTCCAATCGATTACCTTGTTTAGAATTAATATCCATCCACTATTGACAGAGTTACAAGTGGTCAAATTCCGACCACTTTTCGTAACATGTTCGATTTTGTCTTTTTTGAAATTGCACCCCCAATATGTTGCCAAAAACGTAATCCTACGTCAAAAATTGGACTCTCAGCAAAACCGAAAAGTCGATGTTTTGTGTTTTTTGAGTTCAACTTTATGCCATAATGACTTATTTTTTTTTCTTTATTATTCTTTTTTTCTTGACTTTGCTTTCCTTCGATCGTGTTTCCGTACTGAGCACCAATGCTACCAACGCCAGGGGCCAGCTCTCACACCTGGCCCATCCCAACGGCTTTAGTTCCCTTCAGAGATGTTATGCCTCAGAATATTCCTGAGGCGCCGACTGGTATTGAACCCAGGCCTGCGGGGTGAGAGGTAGTCGTGCTTACCACTACAGCACCAGCGTCGCATTAAATTTGAGCTTGTCCGTCGCTTTATTTATAAAATATATATGGGTGCTTTACGATTAAAATAAGAAAATTTTGGATTAGAAAATTCTAGTTAGTCGTTGACTAACCACGACTCCCATCATCGACTACAGAAGAATCTGATTTTGATATTTTCCGACCTGTCATAAAATGATAAAGCAAATGTGATTAAAACTATCATATGATATAAAAAATGATTGGAAAATTCATCAAATTTCAAAAACATAACTTTAAAATACTTTTATAAGATCAAGATTTCATTATCGATGGTTCATCGCAATCGTCTGAAACGCCACGTTCTTTCATCTCGTTTGCAATCAATAAGAAAAAAATCCACTCACCGCCATAAGGATGTCCCCGGTCGGTCCCGTCCTGACCGTTACTGGCGCTTAGCTCCATCACCTTTCGCTGCGGAGCCGGATCCGCCACTCCACTGACCAGCCGCAAATTGAGCGTTACAAGCAGAATCACCATCGGCAAAGTTCGACCTAGTCTGGTGGCCACTCCGTTCTGCCACCGCCGCCGCCGCGAAAATGTCCTTGCACTGATCGCGATTGTGAACGAGTTCATTTTTCCCATCCTTGGACCAAACTGGGCTGTTACTTGGAATCGGTTTTATTCGCCTTCTCCACTGGATTGTTGTTAATTTGGTTTCTTTGTTGTATTTTATTTCAGGTGTTCGTGTCGTGATTTGGTTTATTTCGAATCTCGTGCTGTGTTGGACTTTTTTTTTCATCCCCTCCTCTGAAGGCCGTGATAAATGTGACCTCGTTAGGATGATGCCTATTCGGGTACTTGTTTTGCCACGGTGACACGCGTTTCGTGTTCCTTTCCGCGTCGATTTATTGCCCTCATTAGGGAAACTTCCCTCGCGCGTGTTTCACGTTCACTTCGGGGAAGATCGCGGGTTTTGGGGAGCTGAGGCCAAGGTAGTTAGCCGAAGGAAAACATAACGGTAAAAAATTAGGCTAAATAAAAAGTGGCATTAATAATGATATATATTTTCACGCTTTACACTTCGCCGTCGTCGTTGTCGTCGTCGTCGTCTTGGACGATGTTGTTGTAGGCGTCGTGATCGTCGTTTTCTTCTTAGGAGGCAGCAGCTTTTTTCTACGGCCCTTTTTAAAACTCATTTGTCGGGCCTACAGGCCCGCAGGCCAAAAAAGAAAAAAGAAAAAAGCCCAAAACCCGGCACGAGCGAGAAAAAATATGGACACAAATAAAATAAATCAAAATTTTCCTGCAGCTAGACTGGAGTAGAACGGACGACCCCCTTGAGTGGTCAGGTTTGTCTTTCCCAACCGACACTTGATTTTCACCTCCACCCCGCGAGGCTCTTCCTGATTGTGACTAATGGGGGGCAATTCTTTCTCGTTTCGCCTCCTCGCAATTGTGAGCTTCCCACGCCGGTTAATCCCAGTCGAAGCCGGGGCAACTCTTCTCTTCGTCACACACACACATACACACTCACTAGGATTCACAAGCACTATTTTTTTCTTTCTTCTTTTGCTCGCCCTCTTGGCGAGGACAGTCAGAGGACGATTTAAAATTCACTTAGTATCCTACTTGGGTTCTTCCGTGATGTGAGAGTGGATCAGTTGACCTGGAACGAAGCCGGAGAAGGGAAATAAATTAGCATTAAAATATTGGTTCGGACCGGCCGGACGACCGGTGGTTTCTTTGGACGGCCTCAAAGGGTTCTGGATGTGATAGTTTGTTTTGTTTTCGGAATGGAAAAATGCAATGTTTTCCCATGACATTAAAGAGTGGGATGCTGAGGGATGTACGGTCTGATCAAGCTCGGAGAGTTGTGCTTATTTTCCTTATTTATTTAAGGAAATGTTTTATGTATTGGGGGGTGTGGTATTTTGAAAAGAGTTTCTTTGGATTGTTTTTACAAGAGATTTTTTCAAAACCAATCTTAGATTACCGGACATTTACAGAGAACTTATAAAACGTAAGATGTTTTGTGCATTACCTGTAATACATTTATATAACAAGCTATCGTAAGTTTTATTAAAATTTTATTTTGTGTTTTACTTGGAGAACGACATAATTGCTATAATCAGTCGAATCAGCGTTTCTCGGAAATTTATGGTGATTTCTTGATACGAGTTTAAAAACTGCATTTGAATAGCTTCATGTCGCTGTGATTGAACGACCGTCGTTTATAATGGTTTATTGATATGTAAGGGGCTCCGTGGCCTAATGGCGAACATTTCTGCTTTTTTTTCCTCTGTTCGGAACATAACTCCAGTGCGACCAGTTATTTGATCTATTGTGGTATTTTTTGTGTCCTTAGTTTAGTGCATGTCGTATTATTCCATCACTATTAAGAAATGACGAAGAATTAGGTTTTGATACAATTTTTAATTTTTGCTTTTATCGCAAGGATCCAGCTCTAATTGAAAGGTCCCGCTCTTTATACCCTTCGGAGTGTTGGAACACCCTCAAAAGATCTGACCCTTTGACCCTGCACAACAAAATTAAGCAATACCACCGATAATGACCATGCATCAGAATCCTAGTCTTAACCACTTCAAACTAGAGAACAACAAATAAAAGATTAGAAATCCCGTAGATAAAAAATAAATAACAAGGCATACAACTCAATCCTGTTCCCCTAGTTTGAAGTAGTTTGGACCAAGTTTCGGTACTAGATAATAATGCCCACGAAAAGTTTATCTACTAACCGTTACTGGAAACAATTTTCGCTTACTGAACGTGTTTTTTTTTTCGGGCCCCTTTACATTACTGAGTTTAAAGGTACGCATTATTCGCATCAAAAGATCGTTGAAATCATTACATTGCAATACATTGCATCGAAACGACGATTGCATCACTTATCAAAGTGAAATCCTGATCCAACCAACCCTACATTTCTACCTACCACCTAACAAAAACAATCTCGCTTTCTGTGATCTTTGTGGGGACGCACAGTGGGACGAAATCAAACAAAGTGGGACATAACCATTTGCGAAGAAACTGTTGAGTGTAGCAATTCGATTTATTTTAGAATGATTTTTGAGTACTTTATTTGAGTGGTGACAATTTTTGCCTAAGGGGGGAATACACTCAGATAAAAAATAACATTTGTTGATGTTCTCAAAAAAAAACAAAGGCTACTCTAAGGAACTGTTCATAAACTGCGTAGAACGGTTTTTGAGATGTTTTGCATAGTGAATTCTGATTTCAATTCAAGGGGATCCTGAAATTGATACTGAAAAAGGAAATTCCCACCCGATAGATCTCTGGTCGATCTGGCTCGACAGTTTGAGTACGACATCGTAGAATCAAATTGAACATGAAAAATCGACCCGGCAAGATGAAATTTGCGGAGATCTGTATGTGCGTCTGATTTTTTCGAGATACCTGTGTGTCGGATAACCCCTTTTTTTAAGTCAGGGGAAGGCTTAATGTTTAGTTTGGGCGTTATCATCCGAAGAAGAAATCGTACGTAAAATCGTGGAATGTACGTATTTCAATAAGACCAGTTGGATTTTGTCCCTTCAAATTTGTGCACGGACGATGAGAACGACCCAAATAAGAACCTCAATAATCTGCTGGAAAATGAGGAAAATTTACGAAAACTTTACTCAGTTTAGTAGTAGTACCAATAGACCGAGAAAATCCAATTGTTACTGTTATCATATTCTGGAATCTTTTCCTTGAAAAAGCGCGAAAAAATCTGGAAAAAATTAGGCGAATTTACTCATTGCTGAATTTCTGCACTTTTTGCGATGAGTAAAGGATAATCAAATTTGGGTTCATTTCGTTGGCCGTGTAAATCGAGTTTTACCACCTTTCTGCACACGTTATTTCTAAGCATCCAAAATTCAGTAAGATCTACTCATTTCCATTAGCAGTATGGCTACTAGACTTATGCAAAATTTGAAATTTTCGCTCCACAGTGTTCAAACGGTTCCTATTTGGTTCCTGATTAGCCTTCCAAAATTTTAACTCATTTAGTAAGAAACTGACTTGGCACAAACCATTTGAAGTTTATATGGAAATTCCTATGGGAAAACCAAATTTTGTGTTCATATCTATCTAATAATTTACCCTATTACTCTGCTCTAAAAATTGATAACTTTAGTTGTAGTAAATTTTAACAGCTACAACTTTGTTGGAGATCATTTTTCGATAAAATGTAAGGATCAAAACTTATTAATGTTTCAAGTCACTATTGTCTTATGATTATGCTCCATCAACTGCTCAGTAGGCAACATTGGTGTTTCTGGCGCGTAGAATAGAGCTAAAACATCATGGCTACTATGTCACACTGCAGAATACAGTGTTGCCCACAAAACAGTTGCTTGATCATGTCATAAGATTATCAATCTCTTAAACAATTAATAACTATTTAATTTGATGTTTGACTGAAAGACAAGATTGCGCAAAGTTGTAGCTGAGAAAATTTTCCACAAGAATAGCTATAGAAATTTTTAACGGTGCAATATGGAAGAAGGATAGAAGACTTCGAAGAAAAAGTTTGGTTTTCCCATAGTAATTCCCATATAAACTTCAAATGGTTTGTGCCCAGTCAGTTTCTTACCCAATCAGTTCAAACCTTGGGAGGCTAATCTAGACCCGATTTGGAACCGCTTGAGCACTGGCCAGAGTTGAAAAATGTTGAACTTATATTTTGAAAATCACAAATGTATAATGTATAATTAATGTATATATCAGTGCAAAAATGTTCACTGAAATTCATTCCTTGCTTTCTTAACGCAGGTCATTATGATTTGACGTTTCAGTGAATTTCTCACTTTCGGTTTGTTTTGTTGTTATCTTTCTCATTCAACACGCGTGAACTCTTGTTGTTAATCCACGATTGTCGGTTTTAGTTCCCTCTTATTTCTATTTTCTATGCAAAATATTCATTTCATCTTGGATTCACGGAAGATAAATATAGAAAAAAAATCGCATTCATTTGCGCACAGTGATTTTTTTCACCAGCAGTAATTTGAAGCGTGCTGTAAAACTTTCGTTTTCGCGTGAAGTCGTATTAGTTTTAATTAACTGTTAATATATGATACGCATCCCTGTTTTCTCCATCATCACTTGACGATGGCCTCGACAAGCGGAGAAAACAGCAAGAAACGTAAACGAACGCTAATCGATATAGCCTCCACATTTATCTTGAAGGATGGAGCAAAAGCTTTTTGCAACATCGACCCCGCAGGCAACTGTAAATACGTTCAAGCTAGGTTTGACGTAGGAAACTTCATCCGTCATTTCCGACTTCGACACGACGAGCTGGCGAACTCAAATGGCCTGTTGCAAGGTTTCGATCCGACGACAAAGAAGCCAAGAGTCATCCCAAAATGTCCCATTCCTATTGACCAGCAGCTGCTAATTGAATCTACGGTAAAGCTAACAACCTACCATCAGCTTCCTTTGTCATGTTTTGAGTGGGAGGGCTTCAAAGATCTTTTGCAACCGATCACAACAGCTCTCGGATGTACTTTGAATCGATCCACAATGCGGGAGCACCACACCAAAATTGCGATGCGCTTTAAAGAAATATTGAAGGAAGAAATGCACGGAAAGCTAATTTGCCTAAAAGTAGATTCCGTGGCCCGGCACAACCGTCACATTTTAGGAATAAATGTTCAATATGCTGTAGGTGACAAAGTGGTTATTCGTACGCTCGGTAAGTGGTTTAACTTGTCCTTATTTTTTCACTAACACACACACACACATGCACGTACTCACGCATTCCGAAGCATGATACCTGGTCATAATTAATCTTTCTTTGCAATGCATTTCTTCCAGGAATGATTCAAGTAAAAGAAAGCCAGACAGCAGCTTTTTTGAAATCGAAAGTTATGGAAACGTTGGCTGAATACGGACTGTCTGTTGAACAGATTTTCTCAGTGACCTGTGATAACGGGGCCAATATGTTGGCAACCGTTAGAAAACTGAAGCACGAATTGGAGTTGACCCTTTTTGAGAAAACTGATGGAGATGACGGTGAAGAAGGTCAGTCAGCAGAAGAATCAAAGCGTGACATCAGTGAAGAGCTATGCATTGAATTCCAAGAAAGGATTAATCTCGTGAGATGTGCCGTCCACACTCTCCAACTCGCAATATTGGACGTTGTGAACAAGTCCAATGAATCCGGTCAAGAGCCTCACTGATGTTGCCAAGAAGTGCAAAAATGTCAAATATCGCACCTTCTTCGAGTTCCACACCGCGTCGTACCCCCCCCCCCCCCCCGTTTAGAGCCAAACAAGATAGGGTGGTATTTTTAAAATGGTCGAATCATTCAAAGATCAAAAAGTTTTCTTCACGACACTTGCCGATCAATTTCCCGAGCTTGGTATGTACAAAACAGTTTTCCAAAATAGTACTCAAACACTCATCTATAAAACATTCCGTATTTCACAGATCTTTCAAGCCTTTGGACATTAGTAGACCATTACTATGATGAGTTCAAGCCGTTGTACATCTGCACCAAAAAAAATGCAGGAGTCACATGTAACCCTACCTGATTTCTACATGGCTTGGCTCATGGCCACAAGTGAAGTCCAAAAGGTTACCGATAATCCTTTTGTTCCTGCTTTAATACAATCATTGAGGACCAGATTGGATGCGTTG